GGGGGCGCCGGGCGCGGGCGGCCCCGCGGGCGCAGGTCTCGCTCATCAGCACATCTTTCGTGCTCAAGGGAGACGCGACGCACAACCAGGCGATGGTGCACTGGACGGGCGAGAACAGCAGCGTAAGTGACCCTGGGACACCCCGGCACGCCCCGGGGACACCGCCGCCGCCCCCGCTCCCGCACACCCTGCAGGCACCCCGGGCGATCTTGGCGACTTGGGGATTCGGGTCACCTCCTCGGCGCCCCTCCTGGCCTCTGGTCACTCGTTACTTGGGGAACTGTCCCCGGATAGGGGAGCCGCTCGCTGACTCGCTCAGGGGGCAGACGCGTATATTGTGACCCTGAGCTGCCGCGGGGCGCGGGGGCTGTTCTGCACACTCTGGGTTACCCTGGGGGTCCTCTGAGGGTGGGGGACCTCAGCCATCGCCGCGCCTCCAGGTGCTGAGGATCAATCACCCCAGCCCAGGGTTGCTGGGTCGCCTTCACATTCATGCCTGGGTCAGCTCAGCCGCACCTTCTGGGACTTCTCTCTGAGAACCTCCCCACGCTGCTGGCTTGGGGACCCTGTGGGCTCCAGGACTGCCGTGGTCAGCTCCTTGTGCTGTTCTGGGGCTCTCCCTTCAGGGCTCGACCCTACTGCTTCCTTGAGGTCCTGCCTGCTGCACCTGGATGCCCTGGAGCTGCACTCTTCCGACCTGCCTGGCTGGTGGGCTGCAAACTCCCCGCCCCCCCCACTTCCTCCCCCTCTGGTCCTCCCTTCACCCCGGGATGGGGGTGAGGGGGCCCTCAGGGCCTGGGTGCTGTCTCAGCCTTGCTTTTTGGTGAGAGTTGGATCGCCCTTCCAGGATCACCCCTGGGCAGCCCCAGCTGGGTCTTCTCCAGTGCTGCGAGTTTGGGGGAAGGGACAGGCAGCCCTGACCCACTGCTCTCCCCCACGCCTCCGCAAGGCTGTCTGCTGTCTCCCCCAGTGGCTGTCCCCACCATACTCCTGCTCCTGGAAGCTCTGGGAGGCAGCACAGGGCCGGGGTCCCCACGGGCATGCGTGGGGGGCGGAGTGGGCCGGATCTGCGTGTCCAGCTCTGCGGCCAGGGTGGGCAGTGCTTCCACCCATCTCCTGTTTCAGCACCCCGAGCCTCCGACTGGCTGGAGAAGGGGTGGGGTGCGGGAGGAACAGGCTGGGGCGGGCGCGGCACTGGTGGACTTGATTGGCTCTGAGCCCAGTGTCCTGCTGGCCCCCTCCCCCTCCAGCTGGTGGCTACTGGGGCGCTGGTGCCAGGCCTCTGGTCTGGGGTCATTGCTGGCACCCCCAGATTAGACTAGCAGTTGGCAGAGGGCAGAGCTGAATCCTGGACTCAGGGGCCAATAGGGGGCAGTCAGGGTGACCACTGGGGGTTCCCCTTCCTGGAAGAGCTGGGGCACCCTCCCCTCCTCATCTTGAGCTCAGGGTCAGGTCCCAGGTATGCAGCTGGGCCGGCTGCACCGGACTCACTGGTATTGTGGACATACTGTCCTCTGTACCATAAGCCGTACCCCAGGGCGGAAAGCCAAGAACCAGAGGAGCCCCAGAACAGCACAAAGAGCTGACCAGGGCAGTCGTGGAGCTCACAGGGTCCCCAGGCCGGCAGGGTGGGGAGGTTCTCAGAGAGAAGTCCCAGAAGGTGCGGCTGAGCTGACCCAGGCATGAATGTGAAGGCGACCCTGCAACCCTGGGCTGGGGTTGCACGTTAAAGTAAACCCTGTGGATCTGGAAATATATGCCCCCCACTCCCACCTGCTGAAGTTGTCATCCAGCAGCTAACTTCTGTCCCTTTCTCGTTTGGCCTTGTGGGTGTGTGTGAACGGAGAGACTGAGACTGGGGTAGGCAGAGAGACATAGGCCATGCCCGTTGGGACCCATTCTGAGCTTGGAGCCTGGGCAGCCTCCTTGGAGAGAGCTGAGGAGGAGCATCGGCCAGTGGGCTGGGGTGCTGGGGCCAGGAGAGACCCCCCGGCTATTCTCCCCCAGGGCCGTGGCTGAGTTGAGGAGTGGGCTTGTGTCTCGGCTGCTGGCAGGTGAGTGCTGGGGGAGGGGGTGGTAAGTAGAGTTGGGTGTGGGAGACATGTTGGCTCTTTCTTAGTGGAGCCAGGAGTTCCAAGGCGCCGGAGAGGCCTTTGAGGGACCATCTCCTGCAGCCAGCGGGTGACAAAGGCTCTGGAACATGGGGTTCAGCTTTGCCCGTAGCAGGCGCCTAGGGGGCAGAACAAGCTCCTGACAGTTAGCTGGCTCTGGAGTCCAGAGAAGAGGACTGCACCAAAATGCTGGCCCAGGAATTTGGCTCAAACCCTTCCTTATTGTTCCTGCCCCACTTGCCCTGCCCTGGGCGGTCGGGAGATTGGGGTTCACTCTGGAAAAGCTGGGGAGCAGGCAGTGCTTTCTGAGTCTCGCTTGCTGGAGAAAACTCAGGCAGTGGAGGGAGAGGAGGAAGGCTGCCGCCGGGAGCTGCCTGCTGAGGCTGTGCCTTTAAATTGTTTGCTGCGTGCAGGCTGCATGCATAGCAGTCCCTTCCTGGCACTCGAGGTGTCTTGGAAATGCACTTCGCGCCCTGTGCTCCCCACTCGCAGCCGCGGTTCTGAGGTTTGAGCCAGCGTTTGGCTGTCTGGTTTCTCCTCCGCTTGAAAGCACGGTCTTTGAAAGGTACATCCGGAAAGGACCGAACTTGAGGCCGCTTTCCTGAGCGGAGTCTTTACAAAATGTTCTCTCTGCCACTTCGCTTGCCCCCGCCGCCTGCAGACTGAGTGGACAGGAGCAGAGCTTACCACACAGAATCAGGTGTTTCTCAGAATTTAAAAAAAAAAGCATTTGAGGAGGGGATTTTTGCAAGCAGCACTTTCGAGTAGCCTGTGAAGAGGGGCTGTAGGCTGCAAGCTGGTTTGGAGCTGGTCCCTGTCCCTGCAGCTCTGTGAACATATGTGAGTCCTCCGCGTGATGGCTTGATTCTTCCTGCTCCCATGGAGACGTGCAAGGGGACTCGGTTGGAAGTTCAAACACTGCCTCTCTGTCTGCCGTTTAGCTGTGGAAAAAATTGTTATATGGGAAATTAATGTTTCATCGAAACCAACCCGAATTACCGTTTTATGGACCCAGATTGGGCTGTGTTGGGACGGCTCCAGGCTTGCGTCTCCGGGAGGCAGCGGTGCTATTTGAAGGTGGATAAATATTCCAGAGCGCTGGTCTTCGCCCCTGGGTTGTGGTTTCATGTTATCCAGGTGGGAAACACACTTCCTGATCCGGTTGCAGTGGTTCCGGGAAGCGTGCACTGGTGCTGCTTACTCCAAGTGCGGCCCACCTCATACCTTTCCTTGAATTTCAACTTGGATGTGTTGTTTTGTCTTGACCGTGGCTGTCCCAGAGATGAGGGGCCCCTGCCCCTGCCTCTGCCCCTGGGCACACTGGCACCTCCCTCTCCTCTCTCTTGCACATGCAGAGAATTCTGAGCAGATGAACCACGCTGTCTCCCGGGTCCTGATAAACCCAGGCTTCGTGCATATTTTATACCCAGAGAGCTAGAGCTGCAGCGAGCGTGTGCAGGAAGTTAGTCCTGACACTTGCCTGACGCCGGGTTTGTGGAGGGCAGGTGCACTGGTTGCAAGGGTTGCCGTGACAAAGGACCAAGGCTGGTGGTCAGGCTGAGTGGCCTGAACCACTGTCTGCCTAGAGGCTGGAGGTCACAGGATCACAGGGCTGGCTTCGCCACCTGCAGTTGCTGCTCTTGACTTGTAGGTGGCATCTTCCCTGTGCTCATAGGTTTACCCCTCTGCGTGTGCTGTGTCCTCCCCCGCTTCTGATAAGAACACCTGGATTAAGGTCCTCTGCGATAACCTCATTGTAACTTCATGACCTGGTCAAAAGGCCCCACCTCCAGATACAGTCAATTTGAAGGTGCTGAGGGTTAGACTTGAGCATCTGGATGCTTGTGGGGGAGAGGGGACACAACCCAGCCTCTAGGAGCAGGGAGAGGGACTTACGTGCCTTTGCACCCCCGCGCTGAGCGTGGTGGAGCTCAGAGTAGCCCAGTGAGGGAGGAGGTGGACGTGAACAGCGGGTTATGGGGGTGGGGTCATCTTCCTGATGACACTCGTGGGGACATCAGGCTGCATGGAAGCGGTGGCCTCGGGGCTGCCTGAGGAGTGCGTGGGTAGAATGCACGGCAGTGGGAGGAGCATCCGGCAGGCGGAGCAGTGTGAGCCAGGCCCTGGGGCCAGGAGTTTGGAGGTGCAGGTATACGGAGGAGACACAGGGAACCTGCCACGCTTGGGAAGCAGGTGGGACAGGCAGGTGAGATCAGCTCTGATGGACCCCCGAATGTGGAGCCTGTGTGGCTGTGTGGGGCGGTGGATATTGACAGCTGGACTTCGGAGCTGGCCCGCCTGGTGTGTGTTCTGGCTCTGGGCAGTGGGGGAATTCTCAGTGTCCGTCACTCGGAAAGGGACAGGTGCAGGCTCAGAGATCAGCAGTGCAGATGCCTCCTCAAGTGCGTAGCTCTGAGTCTGGTGTGGGCAGGAGCTCAGACAGGGCATGCTGAGGCCTGGCCCAGGGTGCGAGGTGCTGCGGAGGGAGAGTGGGACAGAGGAGGTCCTGGGTGAGGGTGCACAGGTAGGTGGCCACCCTGCCCTGCCAGCCTCTTACTTCCAGACGGTGCTGCACATCGAGGCCCCAGGTTGGCCGCCAGCGTGCTGAGACCAAATCGAGTGACAGAGCTGAGCTGTAGCTGGTACCGATAGCTGTAGGTTCACACGGTCAGCTCTGCTCCCCTTAGAGGTGGGCTTGGTGGCTGCAGGGCTCCGGGTTTTCCTTTTAAGGTAGTGAAACTTCCTGCCTGCTATTTTGGAGTCCAGGCCACCACTGCAAAGTCGTCCCCCAGTGTTTTGGGGGTGGAGGCAGGATTGGAGCAAGAGCTGGCTCCCTGGTCAGTCGTGGGTGGCGCGTGTGGCCTGATGAAGTGTTTCTCTGCCATGGCAGCCATCATCCGGGTGACCACCGGCCACCTGAACCAGACAGAGGCAGACAGAGGTCAGGCTATGCGCTGAGTACCTGTCACACTGGCTGTCAGGAGCTGGCTGCCGGTGTGTAAGCTGGATGG